CTACATTCAATGTTGTCAGTACATCATCAGTGTTTTCTGGAGAAGGAAAAGTGGCTGAATTTGTGCTTTGCTAACACCATCTCTGAAGTCTTTGTGTGAAAGATGATGAGGTGTGTTTGGGAGTACTTCTGTCATTAAAGCCCTGGAGTTAGAGTTGAAATGATGCTCTGCCTTGTGGTGTTTGAAATTTATCTGGCTTAGACGTTTGAGTTCCAGGTTCTTTGCTGTCCCACAGACCTGCGACATACAATATTAGTTACAGTTCCAAAGTAGAATGTGACTGATCATTTAATTATGATTTAAGTTCTGATTTGACATATGGAAATCAATAGGCTAATTGGTAATGAAAAATCAAAACAATTACATTTTATTTGCTTTTTGTACATTTCAAAATAACAGTCAAGCATAAAAATCATTTCATTTAAAATTATTTCACATCTGTACAGTGAGTGTCAGTATATTGTAGTTGTTCAATTAAAAGATACTTTATTGATCACAAAAGTAAATTATATAATACAATAGTAGTTCAAATGCATGTATTTTAGATAAGCTATGCTCCCCAGTGTAGGTAAGGACATAGAGTGTGTAAATAAATAACGCACCTTTGTGACACATTCATTTGAAGACGTGCTTCTGCAGGTTTGTCATTCTGAGTGTCTTGCACTGGGTCAGACTCTGGCTCGTACATGTAAGGCTGGATTGACAAGTCTACTGTTGTTGACATCCTTATACTTTCTTGCCATCTGCCATCACTAATATGCACCTTCATATACATTCATTTTTGTACTGTACTTTACGGTGTATAAATGTATATAAATAAGCATATGTGTTTATGTATATGTGTATATGTGCATTGGTACATTACTATATATCACGTGTATATTGTGGGGTTTTGTTTGTAATCTTTTATTAATCTTTCATTATTCTTCTCAGCCTCTCTTGTATTAAGCTGCAGTAATGTGCAAATTTCCAGACTGTGGGATCAATAAAGTTTTATCTTATCTTCTTTGATTTTAAAAACATTTTTTAGTCAGTAGATAACTGTGTTTTTGCTATGAAACTACAAACATGGCCGAACTGGGTGGAGTCGAACGCTCAGGGACCTGGAGGGGACGGGGTGTGAAATATCTCATTTYTATTTAAAGAGACCGCACCAAAACAGCTTGCTCTGAGGCGCAACTCAGAACAGGGGTGTTATGGTAAATATTTCTTTAACAAAGATAGAAATACGTGGTCCACCACAAGGGGTAAAGCAAGGAAAGCAAGGAGTCTGTGGAGCAACAAAAACGAGGAATTAAGACCAAAGCGTTGCAGTTTTATTTTAAATAGACCATAAGTGAATGATTTAGACGTGAAAAAGAAGGATTTAAAAGCATGATATGATACCTTTAAAGAAAGTTTAGCTGTTTTGTAAAATGTAAAGTATGATGTGAAGGACAGAATTTTAATTGACCCACATGTAATTTAAAAAAAATTAAATCCATACATAGCAAAAACACAATAAACTAGAACTGCAAAGCAGTTATGACCGGGGTCCAAGCCCTTTTATGCATGTCAGCCTTTGTCATGTTG